ATTACAATAAATAATTGTTCTTAAGTTAAAGTTATTAGTGCTATTAATCTAATTGTCATGCATTGAGTCGCCATCATCATCTAAAAAATCCCTCTCAAAATCTGATAATTTTGAAATAAAAATTATAAGAAAAAAATTAGTACTTGATCGTTTCTGTTTATTGATAAATGACAATTCTTTTTAGTGTCAATTTCAATTTCTTTTCATAAACTAAGAAAAAAGGTGATATTAAAAGGTAAACTCCTGGGTCATGAATACTTTTTAATGAAAAATGTTTTCTTACAACTTTAAAGATAATCTTAGTTATTTTATTTATTTTTCATATATGGTATTAATATTTAGTTATTTAAATTTAAAACTTGTCCTTGAATTGCTATACAAGTAGTCCTAAAGTAAGTGACGGCTGCGATATGGCTTTGACGTTTTAAACAGAGTCTTTACATGAAAGAAAGAAAGAACGAAAGTGTTTCACATCACATCATTCTGGCATGTGTTGTGTCTAACAAGTAGGCACCCCTCATAGCCATCTACCAATAAGCAAGATATGACTTTGATTCAAATTCATGAATCTCTTGTATTGTATTTATCTGATTTATCTGTTAGTTCATGTATATACTCACCCAATTAGGGGCATCAACCCAATAACAATGGCCTCGTCCATTGCTCCACATAGTATCCTCAATTTATATTAAAAAGTAAAATAAAAAATAGAGCCAGTTTAAATAAGTTTATACAAATATATTTATAAAATAAAATAATTGTTTAATAATTAAAATAAACTTATATTCTTCTATTATTTAGAAATTTTTTTATTTACTTCTCCAAAACATATGTAAATTGAAATTATTTTTTATATATGGTATTAAAAATAATATATACTAAAATATGGTGCTTTTAAAAAATTAATGAAGTTCAAAATAGTAATTTTCTTTGCAGGTAATTAAAGATGAAATAATTAAAAATTATAAAATACTAAAAATTTTCAATGATAATTTAAAAAAAAAAAAAATACTAAAACTCATTTTTTATGATTTTTATTAAAAATCGTCATTGAATTTTTTTTAAAAATTATTTTCTTGTAATTTAAAAAAATATTTTAATAATTTAATTTTCTTTTTCTCATATTAAAAAAAGGCCTATAAAATGTATTGGCTGATTTTAATTTTAAAAAATTATTTATTTATTTTTATAAATACTTTTAGAAGAAGTTTATTCAAAATTAAAACATAATTCTATTATTTATAATATTTTTCACTAATTATTGATAAATTCTATCTCAAGGTGTATTAAGAAGGTAGATTTTAAAAGAGAAGAAGGGGAATTTTTTTTTAATTTTATATTTTTAAAATAAAAGTCATAAAATAATAAATTAATATAAATTTAATATGCTAATATTTTATTTACTTTTATAAATATTATATATTTCGTTGAGTCTTTTTTTTAAACTCTTTATTTAAAATCTCTTAATTTCCTATAGTCTGTCATTTAATTTTGGAAAATTAATTAAGTTATGACATTTGTCAATCCATTACAATACCTTCGAGCATTAACTTAGCTTTCTGTTATCACTTATTCTATTACTAATTTAGTGGTTATATATAGAATATTTTATTTTAATATTTAAAAATTCTTTTCATTTTAATTGATTTCTTTCATTTTTCAGATAACAATAATATTTGATCAAGTCATGCATAAATTTAACAGAGAAAATTATGCTAACGGGTTTAATTTCTGTAGGAACATCGTTGATTAATTCTTTTATATCATTGTGCTATATATACAAAATTATTACAATTTGTATTATACTTTCTTGCAAGTTAAAAAAGATAGTATTTATTAACGAAGGTTGGTTCGATTAGTAAGCGACTCAATATCATTTAAGTTACGTCTCAAGTTTGAGTTTTTGTATATACAAAAAAAAATTAGTGATAGACTCATCTACTACATTTAGATACACACCCAGTCCTATCTGAATTAAACTGAATAAAAAAAAGATAGTATTTGAGACAATTCAAAAAAAAAAACATCATTTATTAATATGTTTTTACTTAGATTAACTTATTGTAGTATATTTTTTTCTTCTAACAAAAATATAATTACTAATTTATTATGAGTTATCGCTAACTATAAAAAAATCATTAATACAAAATATTAATATGTACTATTTATATTTGAAAGTTAGTACACTACACTATTTATTTGTAGATCATACAATTTTTTATTAATAATTTAATTTTTGCTAGACAAAGTTTGTCCTAGCATTTAGCAAATTTTTATTTTCTAATAAATAAAAAATGTTTTACTTTTTTTTTAAGTATCAACATTTATTAAATTATTTTTTAATAATATTTACGGGATTTAAAATTAAAGAAGATGAATTTTGTAATATATATATATATATATATATATATATATATATATATATATATATTCAATAACTGCATTCTCAGAAAGACTGATTTTCCAAAATCAATCAAGAGAAATATTTGGAAAAAAATATTAAACAGGTATAAAACAAGATTATAAAATAAAGTTTACACAATCTTCAAATTTTTTTAATATTGGTTAAGGACGCTATCAACACATATATGTTATTAACATGAAAATTATAAAACTACATTCAAATCATTTTTTTATTTACTTTAAAAAATATTTGAATAACAATAATAGCAGTTGTCAAATGCACTAGGAACCATTACTTGAAAAATGTTCAAGAAAGTACTATAAATGAGTACGAAAATTTTATTCTATCAACAAGTGCTTTTCTTTTGCTAGTATTTTTAATGGTATAATATTTTGATTTCTTATTCAAGATTAAATTAATTAAATCATATTTATTATTATTATTTATCAATTGGTAAGTTAATTTTTTATGCCAATTTTATTTATTTTAAAACTTCTAGATTAAAGCATATAGAGTATTAAGAAAAGTAAATAAAAAGATTAAATTCGACAAATTTATTTAATCACTTTTTGTTATTATAATAATAAATATGAACATATTTTTCTAAACTATTTAAACATTATTCACGATCATAATATTTTATCTTAATTAATATTCAACAAGGATTTTTTTACAATATTTTAAAATGAATTTATGATAATTTTTTTCAAAATAAACCCTCAGATTAATACATTACAGAGGTTGATTCCTAGTGTGTGATAAAGTAGAAGGAATTGGCTTTAGGGTTCTCCAAAAAAGGCACAATTGGGGAGCATAAGAAGTTGTACATCACAGTATAGGGCAGCTGCGGCTGCATATTCAATATTGATAGGAAAATATTTTCTTTTTATTTATATTAGCAATTTTTCTATGCTATTAGTGTTAAATTTAACTAAAATATCAAATAAATATGTAAATAAAATAAAATAAGATTTATTTCCATTTTGAAATTAATTTATGAATTAATTCTTAAATTTAAAATAATTGTATTTTAATCCCTATATAAGTGCTTGTTAAAGTGTTATCTCTATCTTTTGTTTTGTTTCTTGTCCTTAACAGAGTTATAACAACGAAGACTAAAATGTATGTAATAACATTTTACAGTAATTAAAATATAAGGTTTTTTTAAGTAAAAAGATTAATCCATGAATAAATTAATTATAAGAATTAAATATATATTTTAACCAAAAAATTGATGAAATTATCTAGAAAAATTTAAAATAAAATATCACATAAAAGAATCATAAAATTTTTAAGAGGTTGAAAATTCAAATATTTAAATCAAATATCATTATGTATAGGTCAATATCATACACATTTATTGATATAGAACCTATTGATTTGATAAATATATTGATCAATCAAAAGAATTGTAATTATAATTAATAAAATATTAAGAATAATTTACATATGACAAATACTTTCCATCAAAATTGATAAAAAAAAAAAACTAGATATGTATAAATATTTTTTTAAAAAAAATATTTAATTGATAGAGAGAAATGTTACAAGATTTTTTATATTTAATCTGTGATTGATTAAATTTAAGTTATGGTAAAAAAAACAATAATTTTTATGTCACAATTGTGTATATGAAAAAGAAAATAAGTTAATAGAAACATAACCTATTTTAATAGTAACTTGATATTATTTGTGACTATTAGTTGAAGATGAGAGACACCCGTGATATACAAAAACAAAAATGTGACATAGTTACATAATTTTTTATATCATTCTTTTATTGATTTTGTTAAACTAATAAAACAAAAAAAATACACGTTTTTTAATTTTCTGTCTCTTCTTAATTTCTTTTTCAACATCAATATAATATTCTATTAAATCTAAAACAAACTTTCTTTTAGGAAACATTTTAACTTTTGGCACCTAATCAGTTCTGTAAAATAAGTTAATCTCCAAATACAATTTTAAATAGCCATTAGTTCTTTTTCTTTCCTCTTGACCGAGTAGTCCAAGAAAAAGGTAATTATAGTCTCTATCTTAATATACAGTTTAGATATTCAAAAGTGTTAATCTGTTGTTTCTAAAAGTAGTAATATGATTATAAGTTAATTCTCTTGTCAGTTAACATAGCTGAGACATGACAAAAACATGATGTAACATTGTTTGGTTAACTAGTTTGTCTACATAGTATCTCTAAACAAATAACAGAGAGTTTAAGAACATTTATTTTAAAAATCTTTAAAGTAACTTATATAAAAGTGATAAGTTGCTTTCTGCTTATTTCAATAAACTATTTCAATAACTTTTATAATTTTTATTTAAAACTAAACGAAGGCAATATCATTTTTAGGAAACAAGGCACACTTGTATCATTAATTTGATACAATTAGTCTTCCATGTTGTTTATGTTGTATCATCTTGTTAGAAACAACACTAGACTTCTTAAAATAATCAGGGACTATGAACTAAAAATAATTTTTGGAAAAATCACTCATTTCTACATCATTAGATTTATTATGAATTGTGTTAAAAAAATCCGCATACAAATCAATGGCTCTGCATATTTGTCGTCAGATTTTGTCTCCTTAAGTGTCGTTTCTTCATCATTACCTTGAAATTTGCGTATGTGACAAGCCAGTCTAGCTTGTAGAGAATTTTTCAAATTTCTGACTTTCTTAACTCACTTGTATCATAACCTTTCTCTCTTCCCATTTCTCTTGTATTCAAATCCAGCAGACAAAAGAGAACAAGAAAGATATAGAGAGAAAATTATAAAGAAAACCCTTTTAAATGCTCATCATAGATTGTGTATAGGAATCGGCAATAACATTGTAGATAAGATATATACTATGTTATCATAATCATATATACATATTGATATGATAGATATGTAACACACATTTCTGATTCCAAAATCAGATGAAGAACTTTACTGAATTCGGAGGCAGATTCTCATCAGTTGTAGTGTTCCTTCCCATAGTAATTAGATGAACAAACAAAATTGTACTTTATCTTTATCAGAATTTGATCATAAAGCTTGAGTAATGCTTGACCAACCACATCTTTATTTCCTATTGACATTCCTTTGTCATTCAAGCAGAGGGGAATGGAGATAGTGGAGGAGTGGCTCATGATACTTTGGCTTTGATCCTCTCTCCTTTTCTTCTACCAGATTCTACCCTTTTGCAGCATCCTCAGTTCATTCTTTCTGCAATAATTAGTGTTCAAATGTGGATGTTAATACCACAAAAAAGTACAAAGGGTTACTTGAAAGCACTTATGAAAATTAACTCATGACTCAAAACTTTTTTTAACCTGTTTGAATAAGTTTTTTGGTATAACTTTTCAAAATAAGATTTTTTTAAGCTTATTTTAATAAATTTCATGATTAAATTGATATCATAGGTCATGTTGTGATAAGAGTTTATTGAACATGTACTTAACTAAGTTGTTTATCTATATGTACTCAAAAAATGCTGTTAAGTGAACACAACATATGCTTAATTGAAACACATGTTGAATTTGTACATACCAATGGATCTTTTGCAATGGAGAACAGCTTCATAAATTGAGCTTTCAGAATCACAGGACTTGCGCCAGTCATCAGCAGAATAAGCTACACTAATCCGTGGGGATGTTTCAGAATAGTATCCTCTATTCTTTACTGACTCAGTTCTTTTAACAACAGATTTAGGGGTTGAACTTGATTTGTAAACCCTCAATTTTCTACACAAAGGCCTCAAGAAATTCAGATACTTCTGAATAATTCTCCTTGACATTGTTCTGCAGCTTTTCAAGGAAGGGCACCTAGAATGACCATTAGGAACCACACTTTTTGGCACATGTGATGAGGAAGCAAGGCTTGGATTAGCATCTGAAGCCTCATATGCTTCCATCTTAAATGATTCAACAAAAAAGGGCATAAGGTAACCATTGGAAAAGAGTTCATCAGCATCAACAAGAGTAAGGGGGGACTGTGAAGTTGGAAAGTCAAACTTGAAATCTTGGGAATTTATGAAGAATCTCTTAGAGGGTGGCATTCTTGGGTCCATCTCAATGAAGGAAGCTTCATCAGAAGCATCAAGGGAAGTTCTAAGGGAGTTATCTTGGCTTTCTAGTGATGGCTTAAGGTTCACTAACCAACTATAGGAGAAGCTTTCAATAGAAAGAGAATGAGAAGTTTCCATGGTTTCTACTTTGATGTTTTGGACGGAATCCTTGAAATAATTCACAATTTGGACAGTGCAATGAAAATGGATACAAGATTGGCTAAAGCTAGTAAAGCCTCTCTCTTGTGCAGCATATCTCTTAACATATGTGTATATATATATACACATATATACCTTAATATATCTTCTCTCTCCAACAATTGGGTATATATGGCTGTCTGGCAAGAGACAATGAAATTTAATAATTGGAATTGAGAAAAGAAAAAAAGAAGCATAAATGTGAGCCCCCCACAAGACCCATAATGTCTTGTTGCATCACTAGTTAACCTCACCCTTCCTTTTTAATCATTTGCTGCTTTAAAATTTTTACAAAGGGAGTTGGTTGGTTTTGTTTCTAGAACTTTGGTCTAATTTATCATATATCACATTCTATTTAATGAAAAGCATGAAGAGGTTCATGCATGTTATTCAGATGTGGCATGTTAAGAATCAGCAAAAATTAAGCTGAACTAGTCCTACGCTTTAGAATCTCTTTCCTTTAAGCTTTTGTTCAGTAAAATCAAAAGCAAGCAAAGGGAATCTTTGTAATTACACATGTTGAATAAGGAAAGAATAATTAGTTCAAATCCTCCAAATTTCTGTCATAAACCAATTTTCTGAAACAATAGGAGGGACCATATTGTTGGTTTTGCAAAGCGTGCTCTGTTTGGTTGTTGTCTTCTTGTGTTTATTTATATGACCAAATTGGAAGGGTGATTTCATCAATTTGATGATCACATCCCAACTGCTTCAACATATAAGGTTGATCATAAACTATAAATGATTTTTTTAACATAAGTTGAAAGGTACCTAATAAAAAAATCATAAATAATAAATTTATTTAAAATTATAGTATCTATTATTATTTATATACAAAATTTAATGATATAATATTTTTTTAATAAAAACTTATTACATATAAATTCTTACTGTATGCTCACATTAAAAAAAATCAAATCATAACATTAAATGTCCTATAGTTCCTTATTTATTACGTGCATGTAACCTAAATGGCACTGATAAGCATATTTTATTGGAGCATTATTATATGGATGAGATATTCTAGACAAAATTATTGTTTCATGGAAGAGAAAAGCGGTGTTCCATGTGTCTGTAAGAGTCAGGCAATTTTTATATACCAAATTAGAGTCTTACTCAAGACACATAGCACTAAATATATCTAGAAATCATGTTTACAAGTAAGTTTGGTCGTCCAAATATCCCATTGGCAAATCTATGCCTAGTGGGGCAAAATGTCTCCAACTATAATGCCAAGTGTTGAAAGAAAAGTTTCCATTGATTCAGTTGGTAAATCTTTCATAATAAGCATCTATTATTAATTTATTTGAAATTTTGTCTATTATCATGAAATTGGTACGATAGCAATTAGCCATGAAAGAAATTAAAAGTGTAGTGACATAACTATCAAAGAAAAAGGAAAACTTTACAAGCCACAACTTGACATTCAACGCACTGAGATAACGTTTTGCAAAAGGAAGATTAATCTTCCTTCATCGTGCAATTGCATTGAAGAAAAAAAAACATGAACAAAGAGACTTAAAATGATATTAATTAAACCATTATATAAACGATATTACTTTAATCCATTAAATTAAATAAAAGATAGAATGTTTAGTCAGTTAGGGAAATCAATTTAATCCTTCAAGTATAGTTGACATTAATGTAACGCTTAGTTCAAAAAGTGATTTCAATTATCTTCCAAAAGTAAAAGTTAGCATCAATTTCGTATTTGATTATTGAATGTGATATTTAATTTAGTCCCTCAATTAAAATTATATTTTCAAGATCTATACAACAAGAACAAAAATAATAATTTGACGACACTTTCCCTAATTGAGGAAGTAGATCAACGTCAATTTTCTTTGAAAGAATAAATCAATGTTGCGTGTGTATTTGGGTAATCAGAATTGTTTTCCCAAAAGTTTTACAAACTTAAGAACAATAAGCCCTTGGCCCTATCAATAACGTTTAAGGGTGGTTAATAAGTTATATATGTTAAATCAATTAATTAGTTGAGGATTTAATCATCCCAAAATTCAAAAACAAAAATTATTATATATAATATTTACAACTAAAATTTCCAGCTATGGATTATAAATCAACTACAAAACGCTATAGTACTTACAACTTACAACATAAATACAAGTGTATAAAGGACAAAGAGCATCTTCTCATCTTCAAAGCAGATACAAATGGATAAATTACATGATCCCATTACCACTAGAGTACTTGAGACACACGTAGCTGTATTGTTGTCCTCCAACCAGTTCAACAGAAATGTGAAACATGAAAGGAAGAAAAAAAAATATCACAAACATTTTCATGGTAAGGAAATTTCAAGCCTTTTCATCCACTACAAGTCATGTGTGGTGCTGCAAACAAACCTAGTATAGTTTTTTACAATGTTGATGAAACTGTGTCCTTTTCATACAGAAATGAAGTACTAGTAGTTTTGACAAGAAATTCAATGAAAAATTTAAAAAAGCAGACAAGGGTCCCGGGGGATGTCGGATAAAGAAGTAGACATGAACAAAGGTTTCTGGGACAAAAGCCACTAAGCAAGGATTGTAGAGTGACTTGAAACCAATTGGTCCCCTTTTTATGTCCCCATTTAAGACAATAAGTATTGGCTGCTAAGTCCAACACTCATTAATGCAGTCTAATTCCGATAAGACCTTACACCTTTCATGCAAGTACAAAGGAACCTAAGTACGACACGAAATTTAACTGCAAGAATATAGTTTGAGATAAACTTCAGATGAAGAAGAGAATCAGGCCAGCTAGCTCACCTAGAAATTTTTGTCAATAATTCTCTCACTCTATGGGGCCAGGAAGGAAGATGTCACACTGCAATGAAAATTCTTATATTATATGATTTTGTAGTTATTAAATGAAGCCACAAATTTTAATTTCAGAAGTGTCCTTAGAAAATCAAGCCAGCTAGCTCACCTAAAACTGTGTATAGCATGTTGGTATTTAAATTTTGAATCTAACAAGCCTAGGTGGAAGTTTGCTAAGAAATTTCATGTGACATTCTACAAAGTACAACTTTTGTATGCTATTTTTGTATTGTACCATCCTGATAACATTTTGGAAATATTACCCTTGATTTCAAATGTTGCTGCTATGTTGAAAAAAGTGATGCAACCAAATTCTTCCACCTTCCACAATTAATCGGTCAAGTAATGGGAAATGGATTTTGTTTCCTTGATAAATTAAATGTAAGATTTTATATATTAAATATTTGTCAAGACAGGATGAGATGGTAGAGATGATGCCAGCATGAAAAGAAAATAGTCAAGAATTATTTCACGAGATCAAGAATAACAAAAGCATTTAATAGCTATGCAACAAGATTGGCGGCAAGAAATTCCTAAACAATATGAAGAAAGATCTATCACCATGCCAAGAAATACAAGAGATAGAGCATGTTTGGAATCACATTTAAATGAGCATGGATCCACATTTACTTCAACCATACTAGTTGTAGTTTTTACATTGGATCCCCGTTTACGGGATTTTCAACTTGTTTCCAAATCCAAACACACACGTTGTAGCTCTATTGTCTACATGTTAAAACATGTGAAGGAAAATGTTGCTGAGCCAACTAACATGGCACAGCATGAAGATGAGTACTTAGATAATAGGGGGAAGAAAACCACAGAAGACAGTCTCCCCTCATATGGTGGCACAAACTGAGACAATCGCAGCATAGAGGGCGGTTGCCGAGGTCTTGTGCCACAACTCATTGGTTCACAATTGAGACAGCAACAGGAGTAGTAGGGTGAACCGGCAAAATATTTATGTTCACTTGTGACAGCCTAAACTGTTATCAAACTGCCACTTCACATCAAGTTAAATTTGAAACAATCAGATGCAAGTGGTTGAAACTATGCAAGGCAAAGATGATGTATTGAAATTTGAAATCCTAACCACACCTTTAGCAACATCAGTGCACAATGCTTGCCCTGTTTATGAAAGATACTCCTTTTCATACACTGTTATTTGCACTAAGCATTAAGATCCAATAAACAAAAATGAGGCAATCCACAGGAGCGTAACCTGCAGAATCCAGCTTAGTTTATCATTGTAGATATGATGCCAAGCCATAGTGCCCTACTGAGAAACCAACCAACAGGACAAAAGTACAATAATACAAATTAATATAAAATTTGTAAAATCATGCCCTTGTTTCTTAATATTAATGCAGGATTCTAGCTGTTCCTATCATCAACACACTTTGTAACTCGGTTCACAATAATTTGGTACTATACTATTACTACTACATTGACAAATGACTTACATAAACTTCAATATGGTGTCTCTCTACCATTTTGGACATTCAGCAAATTCTCCATTTAATATATCCTAATAATAACCATGCTGTATCCTAATTGCTTAAGATGAACAAAGAGATCCTTACCACCCAAACTGCAAATTTGTGAACCATAAAATTTGAACCTTTTGTTTTATGGTACATTAAAAACTGGAGCTTTTATTAATACCAGTATCATATTTAGCATTTGGTAACAATAACATTCAGATGCAATAAATTTTTCTAACATTAGAAGGGGGAAAAGTAATTATTAATATCAAAAGTTTAATTTCCAAGCTGCAAGTGACCGGGAGCCACTACCATATATAAATTATCTTGTCAATCATGAACATAAAAATCTAGGGACTTCTATTAACTTCTTTACAGGATGTTTATATTGTTATCACGTAGCATAATTTTAAGGAATTCAATTAGGTTTGGAATTTTGAATTATGTCATTTCACGCATCTTCTGCCACTTAAACTGAGATTTAAATAAATAAAAAATCCAATACTCATACTCAAAACAAAATTTTCTTTATCAGAAATAGACCAGTGGCAGTTACCTGGAAGCGATTCATTTTAGACAAGCATGAATGAAGAAGGAAAAATACAAAATATGGAAAAGAGAAAAACAACTCATTTCTTATTACATATTTTTTCTTATATTACTCAAGTGCTGCTGCAATGCTTCTTGAAGAAAGGAATTAACAAAAGTAAAAATACATCTCTTTCTAAGGACATCATAGTGATGACACAGGAGATGGGGAGAATGTGATCAACAGTTAGA